GGGGGCTGGGTACAGAGACAGATAATAAACACGGCAATAAATAAAAGCAAATTGTGCTGGGAAGGAAACAGAGTAGGTGATAGTGAGTGTTGTGTGTAGCATCACAGGACTTTGACATTGACTAGGAATAGGGCTTGAGAAGGGGTAACCAGTTGGAAGACTGCTGCAGCAGTCCTAACAGACAGAGGTGAGGGGCCTGACCCAAAGCCGGGTATTGCCCAGCTGGGCTCTTGCGGGCATGAGGTGCCAACCCCTCCTACCACTCACATCTGCGTGCCCTCCGCTTGCAGGGTGATCGTCCTGGACAAAGGAGAGATCCGGGAGTGCGGTGCCCCCTCTGACCTCCTGCAGCAGAGGGGCCTGTTCTACAGCATGGCCAAAGATGCCGGCCTGGTGTAAGCCCGGCGCTGGTGCGTCTGGTTTGACCTGCAAGGCCCACATGCCTTGTCCCAGGATGAGTCAGCAGCCTCTTTGGGAACCCAAGCTTCCCATACACTGAAACCAAAAAAGGAAATAAAACCAAACCCAATAAAACAAAACCACAAAGCAGCCACCTTCTGGTCCGCTGCCTGGAATTGGCTGTGAAGAAACAGGAGGGACACAGAGACGCGGCCCACCAAAGACACGCACAGCACCCCCTTGCCTGTTACCCCCGCAGGACGCACCGGCGTCGCACAGCCTGGGAGAGCCTGCCTGTGCTCTTGGTGCTCTGCAGGGAAGTTTGGCAGCCAGACTTCTCGAGAAATTGGTTGCGTAAAACATGCTAGTGACCAAATCCAGCCAACTGCCTCAAATCTCTTTAGCCAAAGTCTGAAATTCCAAGTCTTCGGCCTCAGCTGCTGTCCTGGCACCTCTAACATCTGGGCTCCACCCAGAATGCTTCGTCTCCTTGGGGCTGCTATTTGGAGGTGAGGGGCCTGGTGAAGATCATCCTCACCCTCAGGCGGTGTCCTGGGGGCCGTGGACACTCCTCTTACCAACCATCCCGTCGTCTGGGCGCTCAGACACGGAGCCAGCGTCCCAGCACTGCCTGCACCGAGACTTGCTTCACAGGCCAGAGGCAGCCTCCTCACCCGCGGGCTTCTCGTTGGCAGGACGGGCTGGGCTTACGGGACCTGGACCTGGAACTCCAGGGCTGGGGGATCCTCTCTCAGTACCAGTTTCCCACATTGGCTGCTCACCTCCTCAGCCACACCTGTCTTTTCTCGGCCTTTCCTCCTGCCTCCTTTTGCCAGTTGCTAGAATGGATTACCTCGAGGCACCTGGAAGGGGTTTGCTCGTGGTTGTGAAGAGTTCAAAGCCAGGAGCACTGGGCACCGCCACCGATGACCAGCGGGTACTGAATCGAGCTCTGTTGAGACTTCTCCTCGTTTTTAGATTTCAGTTCCTCACCCTTGGCCTCCGGGTAGCCGTCAGAGGCGGCAGTGTGGAGAACCAGACATGTAGTTACTGAGTGTGTCCCAGGACAAGAAAAAAACCCCATTCACGAATATCAGTGATTGTTTTTCTTTTTTTTTTCTTTTTTTTTTCAAAGTACTGCTCCTGGGAGAAACACTGTCCCAACTTAATTTCTTGGGCGGAAGTGTTGGGCTGGGAGCAGCTCGCCCAGGGAAAGCCAAGGTGGCCGGCATCTGACAGCAGGTCTGCGGGCTCCTGAAGAAAAAGCGGAGTGGAGACCTCCAGGGCCCGTCCTTTAGGTCTCGCAACCAGAGACCCAGGGGAGACCCACAAAGCAGAGGGGCCACTGCTGCCCCGAGGTTCCCTTGCTGACTTCAAATCCAGAAAAGCATCTTCCTTTAGGTGGAAATATATATTTATTTTTTGTAAGTTATACCATTCTTTCACATTAGATAAACCAAGTTTTTCTTGGGAATCATTTTGTAATGACTTACACTGGAAACGAGAACATTTACAAGCAATTTTCAGTAAAAAAAAAAAATTTTATTTCTAATAACGATTCCATTTTCTTTGGGGTTTCAGCCATCTCCTCTGGGAGTTAGCGGCTCCCCTCTCGTCTGCTTTCCTTCTTTCCTGTTGGCAAACATGCCGTCTCTAGTGGGAGCCCCTGTCGGAAATGGGAGCCTAGAGGTTAAAAACCGTGTGGGGTAGAGTGAGGAGTCAGCGTGGCCCGGTGGTCAGCCTGGGCTCTGGGGTCAGACAGACCTGGGCCTGAGTCCTGCCCTTGGCATTTGCTGGCTGTGTGACCCTGGCAAGTCACTTAGCCTCTGTTGCCTCATCCGTAAAGTGGAGCTGATCACACCTGCACGGTGGGAATGTTGTGAGGATGAGCAGTGGTGTGTGTGTGGCCCGGCTCAGGTTCTAAGGCAAAAACCACGTGGCCCTTATAAATCCCTTTGTGTTAACACAGTCAGGATAAGTTGGGCCGTGGTGTAGCCGCAAACTCATGGGAAATGAACACAGGGTTCTGTTTCTTGCTCATACACGTCCTGATGAGGGTCAGGCGCCCCTGCAGGATCACTCCCCCCCTTCCAAGCAGCCACTGCGAGAGCCAGGCTGTTCTCGCCTTTTGACCTTGCCTCTCAGGAGCTGGCTTCCAGGTCACCATAGAAGGGAGAGTGTGGACGACTCACACCCACTCATAAGTGTCTCAAATGAAGTAAATGACCCTGCAGGTACGATCAGCTCCATGTGTGGCTTCCCTGGATGTGTGTGTTCCCCGCCAGCCAGGCTCTGCTGGCAGGAGCCACGGCGAGGGGATTAGTGGCCTGGATGGCATGCAGGCTGGTCCCCACAGCAAGGGTGTGGGCCAGCAGCAGCCTTGTCAGCAGGCTCATGGGCGCTGGCTCCTGTGGCCCACACTCTGCGCCCTGGCAGACCATCTCCTTCCGTGAAAGTAGGCTTTTGTGACCCTGGAATGATCCCAAGTGAGTTTGCCAAACACGCAGCTGCTGCCGCCTTTGCCTGTGGCCACTCTGCCGGGCTGTCCGGTGGCTCAGCTCCCGGCAGAGCAACAAGAAGCGCTCTGTCGGGTCCCTTTCCCTGCTCCCAAGTTGGAAAGACGACCCCCACATGCTGACTTGGGCTTTGGTGTGAGATGGCCCCAGGGGCAGGTCCCCTGTCTGCCACTTACTAACTGGGTGACCTCGGCAGGTCATGGCAACTGTCTGAGCCTCAGTTTCCTTATCTGTGAAATGGAGCTCGTAATTGCCAGTAATGGTGGGGCCAGCACTTTGTAGGCGCAATAGGGGAGAGGCAAGAGGTGCAGGTGCCCTACCCCAATCTGAAGTCGTCAAAATGTGCTGCTCGCCACATCTCGGCCGAGGGAGGTAGAAGCTGCAATTAAGTGTGGATCACTCTGGGCTGGAAACCTGTGTCGGGGTGTCCCATTAGGAAGTCACTGTGACCTGACGAGGCAGAGCAGGCTGTGTCCTGTCAGGCAGGTGGTTGTCCACAGGCGCCTGCTGGTGCACCAGCACAGCCACTGCCCTGGTCTCAGTAGATTATTGATGGCAATGGGCCGGGTTAGCCCAGCGACTGGACTGGGTGGTTCTGATTCCCTCCGGGACATCTGGCAACATCTAGAGACATTTTTGTCACAACTGGAGGCGGGGGTACTACTGGCATCTAGTGGGTGGAGGCCGGGGATGATGCTACACATCCTACAGTGCCCAGGACAACCCCATATGTCGGCAGTGACCAGAATAAAAGTCCTGGTGTGTGGACCCTTATCGCTGCCCACAGAGGCCCTCAGATACAACAGGGATCATCGTGAACGTTTATTGGGCATGCACTTTGCCCAGCTCAGCTCTGAACACGTTTCCGTGTATTAGCTTCCTCTATCCCTGCAGCAATGCCATGAGTCAGTGAGGAGCCTGGGCTGCCTCATTGCTCACGCTGCGCTACAGTTAGCTGTGTCTGGGGAACCCCGGCTTTGGCTACTTGAGAATCGAACCCCCTTTCCTGGTGCCTGAAGGCAGTCGTAAGAGCCCTGCCCTAGGATTCCGACCGCTGTCAGAAACAGGCCTGAGCACGTACACTGTGCACCGCCCTTCAGGAAGGCAGGGGCTGCCCGTCACCACCCTGACCTCTGACCTCTGACCCCAGCAGCATTTCCCACACGGCCCCCGCGGGGGAGGAAGTATGAACAGAAATGCCCGGGATGTTCTGACTGCTTCTGGGGCTCCCCCAAGAAGCTGGAATTTGGTCGGTAACAAACAGATGTATGACATGTGCCGGGTCCGGAGCGATTCCCCTCAAGACTTCTCCTGAAGAAGTCCCAGCCCCTCCCCTCTGGCCTTCAGAGCTGAACTGCGTGCGGTGTGTCCTCATGCTGTGCCCGGAGGGCCCCATCCTGGTGTGGGTCGTGGCTCATGTGTCCAATTCAGACAAGAAGCTTCTTGGAGCCCCGTGTACAAGGGTGGGAGGAGCAGCAGGAGCCATGGGGTTCAGTCCTGGTGCATGTTGGGATCATACGGGGAGCTTTAAAAATATACCGTGTGCCAGAATGGAGAGCATGTTGGGGGTCACGGGGCAGGAGGGAGGGGTGTGGTCACAGAACGGCAGCCCCAGGGGTCGTCGTGGTGGTGGATGCCACCTATATGTGTGATAACAATTGTGTAGAAGTCACACACGCACGCATGCACACGCACACATACTAGTACAGGGAAATCTGAGCAGGATCTGTGTATGGTACCAATGTCAATATCCTGGTTGTGATACCACGCTAGCGTTTTTCAAGGTGTTACTTTTGGGGGAAATGGAAAAGGGTACACAGGCATTCTGTGGATTGTTTCTTAAAACTGCTGGTCAATCTACACTCATCTCAAAATAAAAGGGTTAATTTGGAAAAGTACACACACCATTGCCCTGCCACAGGGTTAATGACTTCATTGGTCTGTGGTGGAGCCTGGGTGTGGGCAGGTCTTGAGGTTCCCACATGGGTCCAATGGGCAGCCAGGGCTGAGAGCCACTGTCCCCTTTGGGTCCAGGATGGACAAGGCTGGACAGGCTCTGATCAGGCCGACCTTGGGGGTTGCTGCATCCTCCTGGGTCTGTGATGATCGTCCACTTTCCCTGCCATCTGCCACCCAATCCCAGAGAGCAGAGGGGTCTAGACTCCGCTGATGACCCCCAGGTCACTGGTATCTCCAGGGCATGGCACTTCTTTCCAGGTTGGCGTGGCGGGAGGGTTGAAGGGTCTGGTTCAGACCAGGCCTGACTCCTGTGCCAGCCTATAGAACAGGCCCTTCTGGGCCAGCAGCTGGGCAGGACTGCCGCTCTCTGCCACCTGCCCTTTGTCCATGACCAGCACCCTGCGGGGAGAGGGAGACAGGCAGCTCCTTGGACACCAGCCTGGTCCCTGGGCCGCTCGGAGAGCCCAGCATGCCTGCTCTGAGGTTTGCTCCCCAGAAGTCTGGCCTTCTGTGTGGTTTCCTGGTTGTAAGCATCTACTGGGCATATGTCCTTGGGCTCATCTCTTCCCCTTTGGGCATCAGTCTTGCCACCTGTACAACGGGCACCTGATAATCCATCCCATTACCTTTCCAGCTCTAAATGCGGATGCCTTCCTTCACCACTGCAGGGTCCCTGGGGCCAGCGCCTTGGGGGGACTTACCTGGCACAGTCCATCACGGAGCGCAGGCGGTGGGCGATGAGCAGCACCGTGCAGTGGGCAAACCAGCTCTCAAGGGCGGCCTGCATCTGGAGCTCAGTCCCCGGGTCCACGGCGGCCGTGGCCTCGTCCAGGATGAGGATCTGGGTTTTCCGGAGAAGGGCACGTGCCAGACACAGCAGCTGCTTCTGGCCCAGGCTAGGAGGGAGTGGGACAGTCAGGCCAGATGTTTGTGTGTCTGCATGTCAGAGTTTGTAGGGCGTGCCCACAAATGCATCTCCACAACAGCCACAGAAGTGGTGGCCCCCGGCCCACAGAACTGGTAGAAATCCCCGTTTGCCATTTTTTGATCAGGTGACTTTAGGCAAGTCATTCGAACCCGCCGTGCCTCAGTTTCCCTGGGAGGACGGGGAAATAGGGAATTGTTTAAAGAGTTTTTGAGTTTCAGTTTTTCAAGATTAAAAAGTTCTGGAGTTGGGTAGCACAGTGATATAAATGTGCTCAATGCTACTGAAGTATACACTTAAAAATGGGTAAGATGGTCAATTTTATGGTGTATTTTTTACTACATTTTAGAAAACATTTTCAAAGGCATACATGATGCCCTCATGGGTCCAGCACCCGATATCACCCACGTTATTTCTATAGCAAAATAGGTGCTAGGTGGGATAAATGCTAAACATAGTCTCGTATCAGCAGAGGTTGGGTTTTGCCACTAACTAAATTGGGAAACCAAATTTAGGAAAAAGAGACATGATATTCAGAGATGTTGTTGGAGTTTGGAACTGCTGACAAGGGACGGAGCTCCTATTCTGATTATTAATAGGATGGGGTTGATGGTCTGTGGGGAAGGCACACTTCCAGGGCAGACTGCCCCTGGGGAGAGCCGTGGCCACACGTGCCTCTCCCTCCAGCTCCTCTGAGGTCCAGGCTGTGGTGGGGCAACCCTACCTGAGGTCATCGCCTTGGTCGGCACACTCGTACTGCAGCTGGCCGGGCAGGCTGGCCACCAGGGCTCTGAGCTGCACTGTCTCCAGGGCCTGCCAGATGGCTTCGTCCGTGTGCTCCTGTAGCATGTCAAGGTTCCTCCTCAGAGAGCCGGGGAACAGGATGGGGTCCTGGCCAGGATGGGCAATGGGTCAGGCCGGCCCAGCCACGATCCCACCTCTGCCCACCCTGTCCCGAGGCCTCACCTGGAGGATGATGGTGATCCTAGACCGCAGCGTGTGCAGCCCCACATGCGCGATGGGGACCCCGTCGATCCAGACCTCACCCTCAGCTGCCTCCAGGAGCCGCAGCAGGCCCCCGGCCAGGGTGGACTTCCCGGCCCCCGTCCTGCCAACGATGCCCACCTGCCAGGGGATGAGAGGGCAAGGC